CGTGCTTTCGGCTGAGATTTCGTGATATCGAACGCCACTACGTGGAACGTAGTTGCCATTTTAACGATGCAAATGATTCGAAATACGGGATGGATTACGATAGCGGTGCGTCTCTGACCCCCGGTCGCGATTATACCCTCCGCTCGCTAGCAAAGACGTTCGACTATTACCGTACGGTTTCGTACGAAGATTTTCTTAAGCATTTCTGCTTCTCTATCTCGAATTCGATTATTTCAATCTCGAGGGAACAGGGGAATGGGCAAGATGTATATGCGTTTCGGTGCGAGACACTGGCAATTTTACGAGCAGGCACACCGCTTAAAGATCATACTTTTGCGTGAATTTCACCTGCAACTGATGAGACACGGCTAACAATGCCCGGTCATACATCGAAGTCGTCAAGGACACGAGGGTGCCCTGCATACAAACAGGCCCTGGGATACGGATCGCGCCACTGCTCGGACAACCGAACGCGATCGAGCTTTTCTTAATCATGTATCAATATTCCTACCCGTTCTTTTTACGATCTCTGTGAAAAATACCGCCAGGTTGTAAATCGCCCATTTTCGTGTGCTCCTTCGAGGTAGACACCGGTTTCAAGTCTTTTTACCCGAGTGTTTTGGCATCCTGCCGTTTGATTTTATCGATTCTCAAAGTCATGTTTGTCCGGTGAAAACGTTGATGTTCTTCAACTAGAAATATTCTAAATCAGATTCCGTGTGTTCTCGATAACAGAAATTACAAAGTTTCGGGTAATTAAAAAATCGCGCCTTTGAGCGATTGATAGAGGTTCTAATAAAATCGCGGCGAAGTCTTTGGTCGAAATGAAATTACGGGACGCTGAGCAAGCACGTAGCACTTTTCACGAGCGTGTCCGTTCGAGAATCCTAGAGAAATGTAGGAATTCAGGGATCAACGTTAACGAACGGATATTGCATCAGACGGCAATCAAGGAATTAGTTTCATTAGGCCGTTTAAGGGCACTCGGCCGGTGATCAATTTGAAAATTGACACGTTTCAAAGCACCATACGAGAAAACCAGACGTCGAGAGTACTCTGGCAAACCGTTAGCCTGGGCGTATCGTTGAATTTATCGGAAGAGGAAGATATATCAAGTACCGATAATTTAATTATTTCGCCACCGAACGTGAAGGACATAGGTGGACCATATAACGAACCAATCGAATTCCTCTCTTTCCGATCTACCCATTAAATTCCTTTGAAACGCGAAATGTTCGTTGTTCAAGAATTCTGGAATTAAACCCTTCCTTTCTTTTCCTTTTCCCTTTTCCAGCGCTAAATACTTCCATTAACCCGTTAACCAGCTGAATTTTCGATTCCGGCTAATATTTTACTTTTTCCTCGATATCTCCGAAACTTTAATATCTTCGAAAAGAATATCATTGAAAATAAAAATTACCTACGAACCCATTTCTTTTAGCGTGAAAAGATAAAAAAAAAATGGCAGGGAAACGGAATAGACGAGAAGAGAAAATCCGCTTTCAGAACAGGGCAATAGGTACACACTCGGCTAACCAGCATCGGAATATACATACATAACCCTCGACCCCCTGGGTACAAATCTGATCGCCGGCAGATAGCTGAATCTATCGGCTCAAGTGGATATGGGAATCGGTAGAAAAGGGCGCGACGATGTCGCCATCACCGTCGACTCGGTCCTATCTCGATTTATACTTTCCATATATTATCCCCTCGACGTCCGTCGTAAAGCGATACTCTACCTGTGCTGTTTGTCCAGCGAATAAACACATTGCCACGGCTGACAAAGCCCCCTATGCGCTCGCAGACACCTCTAAACGTATTACATTTCCCTTCGCGCCTTTTACTAACCAGCCACGTCCCTTTTCGCCGCCGATATCTCCGCTACCGCGAACGCAAATACGCGTAAACGTCTGTAACTAGCCGTATCCGTTTGTTTTCCGCCTCCGTGTTCGCGCGTGAACGAGCCGATAGTCGAAGAAAGGATATAGAGACGTACACCAGTGATATTCGAATAATAAACGAACCGCGAAAATATCTTTGTCCCTGCTATAACCGGGTCCCATGTGGTAGAAACTTTTTTTTTTATTTGTTTGACAGAAGTTGATGATCGAGGGTGAGAAAGAAGAGAGGGAGAATTCACCCTGAAGGGATCAAGTCCTCTAGAGACGTGGCTTTAATCTGTTTTATTCGATACAAATTATTAACACGATTTTCTGACGAATTTAATAGCATTGAATTTTTGAAAATTCCCAGATTGGAAGGACTGAAACCGAAGGAACGATCGAACAAGCGAGTCTCTGTCGCGTACACACGCGGGCCAGCGCTCGTTAAGCGCAGTGCGATTCGCCGAGATATCGTGGCGGCTTTAAATCAAGCCCCTCTGCCTCTCAACTGCTGACTGACTTTGAGCCAAGTCCACGGGCGTATACGTAAAACAAAAGAATCGTTAACGTCCGCCGCGACGATGCACGGAACCGCGGCGCATTCAAATGAGCTATTGGCCATTGCAAAAATGACGACGAGAACGAGAGCGACGACGCGAACTACCACGGTCCGGGACACGAGAAACCGATCTGATGAGAAATAAGCCCCGGCTCCGCGATTCCTCCTCCCTTCGAGGGAATATTTAACGAAACAGAAATAAAAAGACCCGTCACTCTGCTTTTGGTATTTTCTTTTCAACGTAGAACAGCATTGTCCAATCTCTCCGCTTGTTTCGTTCAAGGGATCAATCGTTCCTTCATGTAAATCGATAATGAGCTGTTTGGAATTTCTAATTTCTTCGGTATGTCGTCAATCTTTGCTCATAAAGATGAGAAAATAAAACGAAGAACAGGTGAAAATTAAAAGAAAAATAAAGTGTTGGCTACTGGGCAATACTACTCTATAAATTTTCAAGATTTATGTGTTAATTAATTGCGGTTTAGTAACGCGGTTTAATCGCAACCGGTGTTCGCCTAACGATCACCTTATGCTCTGATAAATTATCGAGCTATTAGAAAAATATAGATTGGCTACTCGGCGTAGAATGTTCTGTAGTCTGGCGAGAAATGAGACCGGTTTGACGATGAAGCGAGTTCGCGTGTCGTCTATTCGTACAATAAATTTCAACCCGTGCTATTTGCGTCGAAACGGTCAAAGAATCCCTGCGCTTTGCTTTTGTATCTACGTTTTCTCATTGTAGCTCGTCCGTTTCCCGCGGGGTTAAATTGCGATACTTTTGTTACATTGCTCCATATTTTCACTGCAACAATAACTCGATTGTTCAACGACAAAAATTATTATCCGTATCTCGCGTAAATCACGGCAGTGTATTAATCCAGAACACCTCCCCGGAAAATGATTCGACTCCATAATCTCCTGTTTCGTTTCGAGCAATGGTTGAAACATTTTAACACAACTTTTAACGAGTTGATATCTCGTAAAAGTTGGAGACTCGGAGTGAAATTCTGCTTTACAGTAGATGAACAATTCGAAAGGTAATTATGTATATTGTCCACCCTGATATTTTCAGGTTTTCGCACGCTAGAACAAAAGGTGGGATGTCCTCAGAAGAATGTAATTTCACGATAGTTTTCTATTTTTGAACTCTACGTACTCCTGACAATTGATAGACGGGCTTCCTCCCTCGCGATTGGCCTGATCTATTTCACTTCAAACGATTCGAACGCGTGCTGGCTCTGTCACGAAATCAAAAGGCACACGTAGCCACAACCGCTTTGAAGTTGCATCCAACCGAGATTGATCTTTGAGAAACTCCATTTCTAACGAGGACCACGCCGTCGATTCGAGAGAGGAATAAAAGGGGAACGATCGCAACACACAACGGGGGAGCTTGGTATTTCTCTTAGCGAGTAAACGACGTTTCAAAAACACATCGTACGCAACCAGTATGTCGGTAATTGGCAGGCCAATGGCGACAGATGAGAAGGTAGGTGATCAAAAGGTCGTGAGCCAGGATAGGCGAGAATGTCTTAAAAGTGAAACGTCGTGTCGCGATAGACGAAGATGAATTGCTCTCGTCTTGTCGAATCTTTACGGGTAAAATAGTTGGCGAAGACAGCTTAGAGATTGAGCCCTGATAAACGCGAAATCGTTGCATCTTGGAAATCATTTTCACCTGAGAGTCTAATGAGAATATCCTGCAATGTTTCACGAGTAAAATGAACCCTGAACCCTATTTTCTCTAAAAACCCTTCGCCTTTCAAAGCAATTTTCACCTATCCAGTACAAGATTTGACGAAGCAAAAGGTGACCAACTTTCCCTTGTAGACGTTCACGCGCTAATTGTCCAGCAGATCTTTACGGCGATCATCAGCGTTTCGTTTAATTTAATCCACATTGCAATTTCCCGACATTGGAGCCAAGCGAGAGGAAAGAAAGTGCATGCAGACAAATACGCGTGATCGTGTACGAAGAGATAGACACACTCGCGCAAATGTTCACGTAGGTGCACGTAAAAGAGGGATAGACTAGTCGATGGCGAGGCGGAATTGGCCGGTGCTCATCTCTACCTAGAAGCCAGTGCATCTCCGAATATGATTAGCATATGCATGAGTCGACCAACCCCTTTCCGCAGCCTCCAACGACTGACCGCGCATGTCAGCGTCAGCGTTCTCTGTTACCATCCCCCTTCAACGTATACGCTCGCACAAACACACCGAGGCATTTAAACACACACACGCGTTCACGTACGGGTACCAACACGCGTGTAAAGGTTGCTGCACACAAACAAGCCGGGCACCCGGTCTGCCCCACCGCCATCAGAAACTTCAATAATACCTTCCACGTTCCTCAATTACCTCCTATTTAATTACACCGCCGCATAATTAACGTCGTGAGAGCACCCTCGCCTGACGTGACATGGCTTGACCGACCCGACCGACTCTGCTGGCCCACCGGAAGCCCGCATACTGTCCTATATCCAAGTTGTTACACTCGTGCCACCGAGCAGGTGAAATGGAACTTGAGTATCCAATCTTGGACGTAAAGAATTCTTTTTTTTTTTTTTTTGAAAAGGAGTTATGATATAACTATACCTACTTCGCAACGTACTCGACGTGTTTTTAAATGATTACAATATTCTCGTTATTTGCGGATACACGCGAATCGATCGATGGATCAATACGTATATAATGGAAACGTTCTCTCGCACGGTAGGAGAAACTACATTACTAAGCTGAAAGCGTACACAAATGGGAGGAAGAGGTACATAATGGGAAACGATTGGTCTTTAATTGGCCACATCTGATTGGAAACGACCCTCCGGCGTTTCGATAGGCCGATGTTAAGCGAAAAGAAACATCGTTAGGTTATACCATGGCTAACGTGGGCCTATCAAAAAAATAGGTATTTCAGTCTGTTCAAGGATTAAACGAGAATTTTAATCTTGAAAGTTACTTTAACTAAAGGATCGATAAATATGAACAGAGTATCTGAACGAATTTATCGAGTGTTAATTGTACTAGGAGAAATATTTTGTTAGTAGATCCGTTCATCTCAACTGGGATATTCGTTTCCAAACGATCGCAGCCTTTTATCCTCGCCAAATAGACCACTTGAAAAGGTAATCTGCACTATTGCGTAAAAGCGAGGTTGATGCGAATGGAAAAGTGATTGAAAAGTGGTACCTTAACCGCTCTGATAGACTATCGATCGACGCGACACGCAAAGATACGGTTTTGATCTGACTGCACGGGTAATTGTCTTCTCCGGGATTGGCATACAATTTCCGGCCAAAAATGCCTCTTCCAGAGCTAGAATGAGGCTATTTCGCAACAACCTCGCTGTTCGACCTTTAGTTACAAAGCACCCGATAGAAGGATAGTTTGACATCCATCGAGACACAATTTTCGACCCTCGTTAACCTAGATAAACCTTTTTTTATCGTAATCACCGAATCGATCAATGTATCGGAAAGCTTTGAAATTAGAAATTCGCGTAACAAACAGATTAGGGTATACGGAAAATTTTACGAAAAAAAAAGATCTCGTCGTTTTCCCAGGGAAAAACCTTAAGATCACAAACGAAGGGGAAAGATTGCCGGGAAACTGTACCCTTTCGCGGAGGTCCGCAGCTTTCAAGGCAGCGCGTCGAAGTGACGGACTTAGATTAACTTAGGAAAGAGGCTGGCTGGAAGTTCAAAGGGGCGCGTCGCGACGCCGCGAAGTATTCGAAGAACGGAGATTCGGCGGGACGCAATCTGAATGTAGGGAACCGGTGTGTGCGGTGCGGTACCAACGCCACGAGAGCGGAACTTTAACAAATTTACGCTGCAGGAAACAGGAGATAGCGATGGAGGGTGCAGGGCGACGCTGTTGCTATCGAAAGTTCCCCGTGTGTCGACGCTGGCTGTGACATTGAGTAAGCGCGAGACTTTCGTATCGATTAGACGAGATTAGGGTGAAAAGACGGGACAACACGTAGGTACTGCCGCCAGAATCATCCTCGTATTTACGTTGACAATTTCGTTTATGGTTCGGCCTAACATCGATTCAATTCAAACGTTTCGTTCCGCTCCCTCGAAAGACACATTTCGAATACAAAATTAGCTGGAAGGTAATTGATCCTCTAAATGAACATCTTGGGGGAGATCGTCGAATGAATTCGCGATGAGATAGCGCTAGTGCGAAACGGTGTCGTCGTTAACGCTTTGTCAGCTGAAGGGACTTTGTATGCTCGGTATGGATAATGAAATATCTCAAGATTATACTATACAGGTAATTGTCTACCGTTTGATCGCTATCTCCAATTTTTGTCAAACTCGAGTAGTTATGTTGAAAAGGATTACTTAAAAGGGTAAAATATGATTTAAAAAGGTTTCGCAAATAATTCTAAGCATTTTTAATATCATACCGAAAATAAATCGAAATCTAATATAATAAATCTTAATAAGAAATTCGAGGATACAGCGGTAAGGTATAAATCAGAATTTCCTCTGAAAAGACTCTCTGAATCCGAAAATTAAATAAATCTACCGAAATCAACATCCCGAAGTACGTTCTATGCAAATCTACTCATTAGAATGTTAAAGCATTTGCATTCACTGCATCACACAACAGCACTGTCCCGGAATCTACAATAGCAATTTATCCTCGCAATCTTCCATACATTTCCACTGTTTAACAGTTCCAGCAAGCTTAAAATATTCACGTACTTTTAAAAGCATGCAAGCATTCAAAGTTCACGGAACCGTTCCGTGTGTATGTTACGGTGGCCAGGAGGCGAGGGTCACAAACGTGAAAGCGCGAACGGTGCATCGAATTTCCGAAGTGATATCTAAACGAGAAGATTATGGAAAGTATCGTAAATGTATTCGGCCACTTGGCGAAACGTGCCGTCCAGGCGAACCACGTGTCGGCCGTTGAAAGGGTGCGCATCGTAGACGAAGAGGGCTGGGTGCCATTTAATAATCAGTAAACTAGTTACAGGCTGGCATACATTCATGCAGCAGGGGCCTAGCTCGGTCGCATGTGCGCCCTGAATTATTTACACGTAGGATGACCGCTCCACCAAAATGGACTTAGAATTCTCAATTAAGGTTGCACGGAGCCATAAGCCCGAAACGCATTATCACATTATTATTAAAATCGAGTAAAGCCGTCGCGAGCTCACCTCGCCTCGTTCGCGTCCGCTAAATGTAAGACCTTCGTTCGCTTTAAGCGTTCTACCTGTCAGCATGAAAATGTGCAGGGGCGTATCAGAGTGTGAGAATGAAAATGAAAATTCAACTATATGTAACCGGGTCAAAGTTCGTTCCTGGTACTACAGAAATTCTCCGGTTCCGGGAGAACTACAAAATACGGGCCGGATTTGTTTGTACAACAATTTTGCTGGCTGCAGCAACCGCAACGCTTTCGAATAATCGAAATTCGATCAGAAAACAGCGCAACGTGCACCGGGTAAAAGTGCAAAACAATAGAGGGTGCAACGCCGCGTGGAAATGAAAAATTCCTGAATTAAGGGTGAAACAAATTTTTTAACTATTCGTGAAGCAAAGCAATTTTAAACTCGACACTGAACACGCATCGAGTATTCTTCTGTAACATTTTACTTGAAGTTTCATTTTACAATGATTCAGGTGAAACGTAGAAACATTAATTAAATTTTCCCTTTTTAACCCGACCGTTTATTATTGGAGAAACGTTTAGAAATGATCGTACCTTCAGGTTTATTAAACCACAGGAACGTTTGTTCATTTTTTGAATATATATACAGCGCGGAAGCGGTAGCCTATGGGCATGCAATAACGGGGCAAAAATATCCTGGAACGTTTCGCGACACAAGTGCAAAGGCTTTTTATTGAAACGCCAAGCGAATAGGTCGCGCACACATTCGAGCCACAGGCTACGCCACAGAACCGTGCATGCAAATTTTATAGGTTAAATAGGCCAGCCGACCAACCACGGAAATAATTATCCCAGTCACCCTGTATTCAGTGCCTTACTCATGTCTGTCTAACACACCACCGTGCGGCAATCGTACGACGTGTTACACTTACACGCGTGCATCACGTTTGTACCAATTTCAAAGTACATTCGCTGCTAATTCAATTGCAGTCGATTAAGGACGCCGATGATATGAATAAAGGATTCTAGAAAACAAGTGTATCTATGACTAGATTTTTTGTAATATCATTTGATGCATCAAAATTGATTAGTTGAAATATCTCCCTAGGATATTTTTTGAACCGATAAATTTTCGATCCAAGCTAAAAAATTCAAAATGACCTCGCTATTTTCCCTAGGGAAGCTTGATTTGACGGCGAGTGTACTTTGCACTACAAAGGCTGTAAGTTATCCTCTTTCGTGAAATCAAAACAAGAATGTATCATCGTATCGTGCGTTCCGCTACCGTGGAAGTGTTAAGCGTACCGTGAATCAGAAGAAAAATTATGAAGACATTTGAACCCGGCGCAATATTTAAGAATCATGTCGTGGCACATTACGCGAGCTGGTGAGCTACGACACCGACCAAACCGTCGCTAATTCCCAATTTCATACACGGCGAACTATAAATCGACGGGAAACGCGGTTTAATACGGCAATAGGCAAACCGATCGCTGCATAAATTCTCCTTACGCTCTATCCAACCTTGTCCTACGATTGGTTCGCGTGTGGGCACAAGTTTACTTTTTGCTCATCACCCTCGCGAATGCTCTTTTTCAAGAACAAACTGAGCAGAACTAGGCGGTGGAAAGTCCACAAATTGCCTGGCCACTTGAGCAAAACGGCCGTGTTAAAGCGAATCGCGTAGGGGAACAGTTCTTGCTGCCGATTCACCTGTCTAAATTAATCATGGCTAAGTGGAACTTTGTAGATCGTTTTCCAAGAACTTATCTACCTAAAAAAGAAATATCTCTTAAATGTTTAGACATCTTTCATGAAAATAATTTTTATCATTGAGACCCTTCTTGCAACCAGCAATGCAAATGCATAAAATTACAATTAAACAAAAAATATCTCATTTAAAATTCCTCTGTAACCACGCTTTAGAAATAAAAGAAAGCTCTTTGTTTTTCCTGTGCAACAGCACTGTAACTAAAATTAAAGCAAAGAAAAGAGAATGCACGAGGATTTAATAAGAGGAACGAGGTAATCCGGGACGCAACATATTACAACGAACACGAGCGAAAATATTACGTGTCCGTCTAATCCTTGCTGGTCTTCATAACAAATAATTAATTAGCTCAGCTCGCGACACGAACATATGTATCAGGTTGTTGCATGTTAAATGACCGATTACTGAACATGGAAAATCTACATGATTCGATGACACAAATGTATGCGTATCCCGTTGCTGATATCTTCGTTCCAACTAACACGCCTAGGAAGTAATTAAACGTCCGATGATTATCTATTTCCTACGTGGACCTCCAACTACCACCTCCACCTTCATCCCTCCCTCTAAACCCCTGATTCATTCCTCGTCGCTAGCCGCCTTTGCACAATAACGATGCGGCACCGGTTGAACCGGAAATTGCCGCGGAATCAGGGTTAGCCTGTATACTCGTCAGCACATACACGTTTGAGCTACGTACGTACGAGAATCAAAAGAGGAATAGTACTTGCAATAAATAAATTACCATGACCGATAGAAATATCGTTTTAATATTTCACCTCCTGTCTTGTAATATCCACCATCAATCATGCCACTGGGCTATAACTAAAATGTAACAGAATCATTTATCCTACTGGAATAGTCTGATTTTTAATTTACAGTTCACAGTTACGTTTTAATCTACCCATGCAAAACGAACAATGCCCCGAAAAATCCATCAGCGTAAAAAAAATATGCTGTATGCTCCAATATCTCACAATTGAATATTTAATTCCATCGTATTCGATCGGTAAACACAATTGCAAGACAAAGAGGTTAATCTCATTCGATTAATAAAAAACAATCACGCTCTTTGAGGAGGATGGAAAATAATTTTAACAGCGATACAATGGTTGAAATACATAAAAAAAAAAATGAAGAGAGAAGAGAATCGAGAGGATAAAAGCGACCGAACGCGGTGCAAATATTTAACCGTTCGAAGCGGTTCGATTTTAGATATTTGACTTTCGAAAAAAATCCAGCCGAACGTGGGAGGAATTTAATTTCACCCGGGCCAGGGTATCGGGGTAGTCTTTTTTCCCCCCCCCTGATCCGTCGACGAACTTGTGAACTTGTTCTTTAACTTGCGCCCAACGTACGTGAGAAAGAAAGTCAAGCAGCAAATACTTCCATCAACTCGGAGTTCGCTTTAATTCCACGCTCCTCTTGTGATATAATTTACCGTGTAATCAAGCGAAACATCGCAGTGGGTTACTCGAACCTCCCGTATCGCATCCCGATGATTTTCCTCGCCGCGGTCCGCGATAATGCAAGGTCGAAATGATGTCGATGTTTCATCATCGTTTCGATAACGCCACGTTAATGGTGCATCGGCCGTGCACCTAAGCGATGATGCACGTCGCTGGTGTATCAATTCACAACCGTTCGGATCCGCCGAAAATGAAACGCGATCGATGTATCAGGTGCGCACGAATTATCTATGCAGACGTATCCCGTGCTGGTGAAATTAATTTTTTTCCCATTCCCATTTTGCGTGAAAAATAATACGCGAAACGAACAACGAAACGTATTCGACGAAAATTGTGAAGCACCTCCGAATCTGCCAACGATACGCGTTTTTCTCCCTCTACCGCTCCGAACTTTGCAACAAATGAAACGTTTTTGTTTCGCTTTTTTTTTCTATCATACGGAGTAATTTTTTTCCAGGGCGAAACACATTCAGAACACATTGTTTACATGAGGGACATGATTTTATTCGTGCCTTGTAGATTGCTGTTCTCCTCGAAGAACGAGGTACCACCTCGAAGGGGTAAATTTCGTTGAACTCCGTCGCGACATCCGGGAAATCCTTACTGACGATATCCAGACGTCAGTGAATCTTTTCATTTTCACTGGACAAAAGGAAATTCACAAGATTTTTATATGATTTCTGGGAGGAATATTGGAACGAGTGTGAATGCTTCGACTGCTTACCATTGTCGTTCCTCTTCCACCCTCTTTTACGTGCAAGCACATATTATATAGAGCGAGGCGTGATAATAGATTATCCATATGACGACGCATATCAGGTACAGGGTCGCGTATGTGATCAAGATTCGAAATATCCAGATGAGTAAATTGCTTTGCGAATCGGAGTCGCTGAACACTAGCTTCCAGTTCAGAGATCGATTCATGTTCACTGAGAAGATAAATCCGACGTTTTCACTAATGAAAATCACGTGTCGAATCAAAACGAACAATCTAATCGTAAACCCGTGTCACTAAATATCACAAAATTACACGTAAACATTGATGTTCCTTTTGTCGACGATGGCCCTCGAGTCGAGAGACACTAACCACCATTTACTATTTTCTCTGTGTATGTATTCGTTCCTCAGGGAATTTTACTACTAAAATCTGTCGAATATACAGACGTCGTTCACCTTCGACGGTCTCAGCAATAACTGATTTTCGCGACAACATGGCCCAGAACGGAGCGTGATGAAACAACGGAAACAAGCGACTGTAAACAAACGAGAATCTCGTCTGGTGCTGTTACGTGGAGCATACTTTAAATTTGTTTACAGTCTCGCTCGTCTCCTCGATTTTACGACAATGTATATGTAATAATCTCATGAGACAGCTCTTGAAAATTAATTTTTGCACCCTTCGATTGGCAGAATTTGTTTGATTATTTGGAGCAAAAATTCTTTTATACGCAACAACCTAATATCTAGACGTGTTTGGAAAAACGGAGCATCTGTCGGAACTCGTCAAACCCAATAGACGAGTTTACTCCGAAGTACACAAAGTGCAAGCTCATTCGTTAATTTACACGGAGGAAGTTATTGCAAGTCGCCCTGAGGGGTAACTGTCAATTCTTTGGTGGGTGGTGCCGGTGTGTCGTGTAACGAGGGATTCTCACATAAATCAGTGTTATTAATGGATTCCCGCGTGTCGAGAAATGTTCCGGCCGAAGAAGAGCGAGCCGAAGCGGTAATGCGAGCGTATGACCCGCCGACAAACGCTTACTAATCTTGTGTACTCTGCCTCCAACGAGCCCTCTAATTTAATAACAAACATATGCAACTACTATATAGAATACCAAGCAACTGCTGCATATTCATCGTCAACTAATGATCGTTTAGCCGGAACGTATTGCATTATGTACGTGGAAACCGGCAACACGAGAAAACTCAAAGCGAACCCTTTAAGCGTTAAACGTTAACAGGAAACACTGAGCTGTTTCATTTCTTCCGTGTAAGTCCAAGAGAATCCTGTTACTTACACCTTTCTCCTTGTTTTCAACGTGTACTCACTCCATCAGAGACTTTCTTTTATCGCCAGAAGAAATGTGGCTTTATATAGCAAACATTGCTATTCGATACAAAATTATGACTCTCTTAATAGTAAACGTGAGATCAATTAATTAGAAAATAATTAATAGATATAAAATAGGAACAAAGAAACGAAGGAAACACAAGAGTTCTTGAAAATAATTACATTACGAGCGTCGTTCTTGTAACTATTATTATAGGGATTTAGTATTTAAAATTGAGAAATTTGTCGCATCCTCCTTCTCCCGTCACGATCTCCATCGATTCTCCATCTTTTGTATAATTTATCCTCGGCAACCGACTTTGTTAACGACCAGCAATTTATTCGTCGAGTGTTTATCGGAACGTTCGTTTTAAGGGAATGTAATGAGGTCTGAAGGGAAACAGTCAGAACAAAAGTATCAGACTTCTTTGCCGACGTCGTTCTCCTGTTTTATTATTAATATGCATCTCGCGCTCGATTTGTCCTTCTAGTCTCTCTCGATATTACGTTAACGATTGCTATTTAACGAGCTAAAAGAACGACGAGGAAAAAGATTGCTAAGCTTTTCAATGAACGTAGAAGAGATTCAGGAGAATTTACTCGAGGGAGGAAGATAAAATTTCGGTCAGGGTATGAAAAGTCAGTAACAGATTTACATTCACGTGAATATTAATTCACGTACGCGGTGGTACACGTGCACCGTTTTCGAGATAAACGCGACAGTTTAAAACGCGAGCTTTCCCTTCTCTTGAAACGAACGAAACTTTTTAATCTTTCAATGCAACTGTTCAACGTCACACGCACGGAACGGTTCCGCCAAGTAAATCGTAGCTGGAAAATTCTCTCTGCATTTCGTTTCGTTTCATTTCGTTTCTGCGTAAAGAGAAGTTGGCCCAGGCCCGGGTCGTGCTGCTCGATTTAAGCGGAAGCGAACGCGGAGAGTTCGAGCAACGAACACACAGATACGTTCGCAAAGCTCAACGAGTTAAACCACAAACTCAATTGGACGTCAGAAAGAAACTCTGCAACAAATGGGCGAAGTCTGGTCCGGACAGAGCCCAGGCCTTAGTCATTTGACGCCTCATTTCTGTTGCCGCAAAAAGCCGAGTAACGTTCAACGATTCTCGTTGCTCTTGATTTAAGCGTACGATTTCGTCGCATGAACGTTCATCTGAATAAATTCGAATCTTTAAATCGTCTTGACTTTCCTTAGTTAAGGAGAAATTGTAAAGAAAATAGTGTCCTACCATTCACGAAGGGTTTTGATTAGATTCTCCCTAGTAAACCAAGAGAATGCTTACGCTGAATAGTTAATTATAATTTAAGTTTATAATAAAAGACAAACTGACGAACGTGTGCACGTGTAACGAGCAGATAAAGCAAGAACTTTGTAAAACAAACACTTGCCAGGAAATAGAATATACGATGTAGGTAGAGAAGCGAGGAAAATAAGCTGTCCTAGAGAAGAAAATATTTTCAAAGATAACGATCTCTATGATAAAATCAACGTACACAAATAACTATATCAGTAGCTGTAATTAAGAAACGTGATCCAAGAATTCCAATTTTCTAAATAATTTTCTTGGATACTATCACATTATCTCAGCGAAGTTAGTAGCAGATGGAGAGTAGCCTCACGTTTCCTGTGAATCTTTCATGCTGCACTTAACGGAAACAACGCTGAATCGGTTGGTCATGAACGAGAAACCGAAGCCCGTATTATTCTATAGATTGCGATCTGAAACGTTGAATATTTCAATAGACTTTCAACACGAGTTCGTTCGGTTTTATTAACCAACCAAGGATTCTCAAATCGCCACGAAATTTATCTCGTCTTTATAGGCATCGTTAATGAGCCGATATCTTATAGAGAAGTGTTCGCTCCTTAAAATTCAGCTGACTATCGACGTTCTTAGATCTGCATTTTTAAACATCTTGAGGGCTACTAAGCGAATGCACATGCGAACTACTTGTTCAATGACATGATTCCGAGATTAAGGTCGACGGTAATTCAGCATCCCGTATTAACATTTTCGAGTGGCACAATTTTTCCTCTTTCTTTAAGCCGTATCGCATCTTATAATTCCGTTCGACTCGAGACAGCGAGGAGTATCCCTGATCGATTATGAATCGAGGACGATACCGGATCGTTGGAAAATGTCACAGTTTCGGTGAAGTTTTTAGTTACACCAATGGATACATAGATCTTCACAAACAGATTACAGTTGAATACCCAGCTCGACTGCTGAGTAATCAAACGAAAAAAAGTGATTTAATTAGCGCAAAAGATAGCGTATCTAATTATCCGGGGGCGACTAGCACGAACCCTCGAGGATTCGTTTCGTTTCGCGTTCTTATTGCGAAAGCGGAGGACTAATGATCGCGTTCGAGGACGAGTTTCCCAGAAATTCCAGCAAGCCGAGTAACACCGAGGCTAGGTGCACGCACACGGGTATGCGGAGCCGCGTGGACATTTCGTGTAACGCGAGTACGTGTCAGAGAGTTATGTCGATCGATGAGCACGCGCGTACAGACCGGTACGCGACGAACAGAATGCGAAAGATAGAGAGAGATAGGCTGTACATATGTGTGTGACAGTTTTGCATGTAATTTATTATGTGCATAATTAGAATAACGAATAACCGAACAACTTTCTGCGAGCGACTAACGAGCGAGTATCGGGAACGTTATCAGCTCTCGAAGATACGAACGACAAACACAGGGGAAGTAGCGATCGGTTTGAAGAAAGCTTAAACCTCGCTCGTTACAAAGGACTTTATCAAGAGCGATACCAGTTGGTCGAATTGTATTCTGCGTTTTGAACACACGTTTTAAGTAATTAGGTACATTGAAGAGCAGATCAAGATTTCTGGGGGCCGGCGTTGTCAAACCTTCATGAAATGAAATCATATTTAATCGTGAAGAAAAAGGGTAACGGTAATCAAAATTAGTTTCAATATTTTTTGACATAGTAAATGGAAATATAACTAGGCCCTCCGGGAAAGTAGACATTCTCAAGACACCTGAATATCCTAAGGTAATTTAAATATCATTTAAGCGTTTGACGAAGATTATTGCAATAGGTACTTGAAGGAATCCGCTGCGAGGCTTCCCGATAACGTCAGATTCCAGGTGTCGGGATCCCTACACTCGTATTATTATTCTGATAATAATAGCAATTAAGCCGTTTCCAGTACTTCGTAATAACACTTCGCGCATAATATGTGTTCCTAATCCGAAGCAGCATATGGTTTAACACGTTCGCCCATAGCGGCTCGCTATCCTAGCCCTCTTCTTCTCCAGTCGCTTAAATTCTCTATTAAAATGTGTTACAACGTTCACTATTTACAGCTCGTAGCAGATATTCCGCGTGGTTATATTATCGATCAGTCATTCCGAGCGACGAGGGGCGAAGTTCAATTTATGGACCCCCTCTCGACGAATGCTAGCTTCCATACGCTTCCTGTATCATTTCAACGCTTCATAAAGCGGAAAAATATTCATCTCACTATTCCTTGCTAGTGCTCAGGGCTTAGTCAATTACGACATTTTCATAATGGGACATTAAAATTAAAAATTTTCATCCACCTCAACTTTAACCCTCGGACGACGGTTCATGGAGTACAATTTTAATTTAATTTTCCTTTCCATCCAAGTTTACAAATGTTTGCGATAAATTATGAGAATATGCATTCGAAAGCTATATAAATTGACATTGAATTATGTTAAAAATAGTATCGACAAAATCGTCTATCGTCAATTCTTCCTACACATATATTTTCCCAACATTTTGCAGTTCCATGCCCCGCACCATGGACCCGTTACATATTCCAGGATCTCCTCTATGAAATAAATCAATTTAAAGGCTCGTACACAGTACATTTACGTCGGAACGGTAAACGATAGGACGTACGTATCCCATTGACAGACGAAATCGATAAATAAGACTTTACGAATGGATACGACCAAGACCTTCTTCCGTGTACCCTTCAAAGTCCACCCCTTTAGCTTTGCCCCTTTCTCCCTCGCGACGTAATGGATGCATAAATTATACAGTCTGAAATATGCTAATAGTAAGCTCAACCGGCATTGCTATATCGAAGAACATAATCTACTAAAAAGAAGTCGACATCCTGAAAGAAAGTCCAAGGAAATCGTATGGTTCGCGGACAACGACGATAAAATCGTGGTCTAACTCGTAGCCGTGTTTTTCCGCGTATCGTGCTAATTACGATCGGTTTAATTAATCGACGTAAATAGTATCGGGGATTCGAGACACGTTAATATTAACACGCGATCGTCCCGGCGTTTATTAAGAGCGTAACGTTCGGTGTTTCGCGTTGAACAAGAATGTGGAACAATTATTTAATCGTTCCAGGATGCTCGGCTATCCGGGCAACCGGTTTAGAGTAAAATATCGTTACCGTGCCGCGCGAGGAGTAAGACGTTCATGAATATTTAAGAGTGAACGCTTTAATATTCGACAAACAGTTTCTCAATGTGTCACGAGCAACGTAGCCGGCCAACGTTCCTTTAACGCAACGTAAATAATCTCTTTGTATGGATATTGCCTCTATTAAGGCGCGGCCGCTTTTTTTCATTGGCCCGCTAAATAACAAAGCAATTTCACCGGGGAGTCGAATTTATCACGCGCCGAACCAACCTGATCCATTATGTATCGCGACGAGGTGCACTCGCGTTGCAGCTAAACGTCTCTTCTGAATGAAAACGTTTCTAATCGCACGAACGGCGGAAGGGTTCACGGAGAATCATCCCAATACTCGCGCAAATGGAAACGTTAATAATACAAACAACATCGAGCGTAATCCTCGACAGACCTGGAATAACGCTTCTACCGTGCGAATTTAACGTCTTATAACAGAAATCTTAAAGATTCGATGTTCGCTTTAATAATCAGAAAAAGGGTTAAATATTAGGCTGCTGTTTGTGAAAGTTTCGCAGAGATTTCTCTATACGGAACGTTAAGGAATTCGTACGAAAGGTTTTTGGATGCCGTCCAAACGCGATACGCCAGAACACGATACATCGTTACACGCTCCCCAATGTTTCATCGCGCTTTCATTCCCGCGAGGAACTATTTGTCGTCTAGGTCCGCATAGAAATTCCCGCTCGATTCGACCGACGATGAATCGCGGTTGAACATCGTCGAGCGTGCACCGCTGGCACGAAGAAAAGCGCAATCGCGTAAAGAACGAGGCGAAGTAACCCTTGCAAACGAAAAGAAACTATTTCTTTCAACCACCTCGTTTCCTTTTTTAGGGACAAGCAACGATCGTTAGACGAGGTAACAAATTAAGGAAGCGATGATGGAACGAAGGGGGCAAGGTGTAGTGCATCCAACAAAGGTACATTACATTCATTCCACTGGCAAACGACCGATATATCTAATCATTAGAAATCTACATAATGGTCAGTTGGCGTGTTTCGTACACGCTCTCTATACATCTAGCCCTGAAACGGCTACCTTTTCTGCGCGTTCAGAAACACGGCTGGGGAAAAAAATTTTTAGCCCTCCTAAGTCGATCGACCTACCACTAAATTGCGGCTGGTCCCATTAGCAAGGGAGTAAAAAGTAATCCGGAAAAAGTGGACGTAGCAAAAACAGCGGGAAATGGTGATAGATGATTTACCATTTGAAATTGGGGGTGGAAATTCAACCCTTTGGACTTGTGCTACAATACGAATAGGTAGCGACATCGGTTAGCGTCGAGCCGAAGCCTGGCTCTGATACCTGTAGGTAGGTCTGTTTTACAGAACGCTTTCAAACCGACTATATTCGACTAAATAATTCAACTGAAAGTTGGAATTACTTAAAAAATAAATACGATAAGAGTTGATAATTCGGTGACCAAAGGCGATTGGCCATTGGCAATGGCCCCAATAGGGAATTAGAGCTCCTATTCTACAGGGTAGTTTTCTCGCTAATGGATTCAAAGAAAATGAAATCTTCAAGATCTAACGAGAAAAGCAAAATAACGAAATCAGAACTACACCTGAGCTTCCTCCTTAGAATTCCAACACTCGATTCATCGATAATCGTTCCGACACCTGCTTCTATTCATCGGACCGCCTTGCTCCCGTTTCCCATAAATTTCCCGGACTGTTCAGCAGAGCGCTACATATTCGATAGGGTCAAACAAATAGGAGGACGAAACGGTACGGTTGACCCGACGCCTCCTGCTTTACATATAATGGGAGCCCATAAGTTAAAACGTACCAAGGCGGTAATACACCAGGCTGGTGTGTACCAGACGACCGCCATGGTTCACGGTTGTTGCCGCAATTCTACACAATGGTCAAAAATGGAAGTCCGGACCGATTGAAAAGTAAAATAAAAGATGAGATGGAAGGAAGAGATAGCGAAGGAAGTGGGGCCCGGTGTCGAAACATTTTGGATCCCACTTACCGAGTCGAGCACAATGGATTGATTAATGAAGGACATCAAGAACGACACGAGGTACCCGCTAAGAATTTAATATGGACCAACACCGTGTGATGCCGTCCGGATGTTTTACTAGCGTATTAAGCCTGTCTAACGATGCTCCGGGTGAGACACGAACATATTTTTGTGTTTGATATACGTTCCCTTGTCAGGGATGTCAGGTGGCGGATCCAACGAGAATGATTGCTAATAAAGAAGAAATAATGATCCTATTTCTTTCCAGCGGTTACCTTTCGGTAAAAAATTGTACACGGTAAGTCGACCGATGTTGCTTCGGATAAGTTAATGCTTCATTTCGTACCCTCGCCTGTATCACGATGGGGGGAGCAAAAATTTCGATTGAATTTTACTTGTTGGTTCTTTCGTATACTTCTAGATCGAATTTCGGAGTTAGTTATTAACGCGCTGACGTAGCATTGCGTCTTTAATCCTCGAATCCTTTGCTGTTAAATTATCGTCGGGTAAGTAAACAAAATGTTACTGTTCCATCGAGGTGCATAGATTAGCTAAAAATCAAATCACATTGCTATCATCAAAAGTTCCGCTTAAAACTTTTCTCCACGGCAAAAGTAATAAAAACGTCTTGAAAGTCTGTCTGGTCTTCTTCCACCGACACTGATTAATTTTATTCACGCGCTCACGGAAAATCGCTCGAGATAATCACGAAAACTCCGTTTGCTCGAACGACTGGAAAAATCCCGAGGAATTCGTGGGAATTTCGTTCGTTCACGATTCGTGTGTTCCGAAATCGAGCGTGGAGCAAGATTAGAATATTCATAAGTTCTTATTATCTTTCTTTTTTTAAAGCGTCATTTGCTTGAAAGTTTAAACGGGAAAGATCGATGGAATTGATTTAAAGAGAATTCCGCGAATGAATGATAGAAGTTTCGCGAGGTATAATGAAACGATGTAACGTTTTTAATTGTGGTACGTCTGATTGCTTTTCGAACGGCAGACAGGAAACGCTGAACATTTTGATCACGTTTCGACGCGTGTACGCGTACGCATGAAATTTCATTTGCTAAGTATTCACCGGCAGAGAAGCGCAGGATCACGTACGGTAATCGGTCACACCCACCAATCGCCATTATCTATGCAAATGTCTGAAATATATGACAATTAATTTTATCGATCTCCAATGAGAACGTACATACGCGGGACCTGTTTCGACGAATTTATTCGTTTATTTTTTCCCCAAAATGTATCCGGTGTTACTATACGATCTTACACGCAAGGGATGCAAGAGATGTAAGGATTCTGGTGCCGTTTTCAAGGCACAAATTCAAAACCCATTGAAAACAAAAGCAGGTCCAATCTTGTTGGATTTGTAGGCACTGGTATAGTTCACGATGCGAATTCACGCAAGACTTACGCGGCCGGGGCAAGAGAGGAATAGATGTGAAAGCATCGAGCTCTGTTGGCGAGCTTTTGTCGGTTGTTCTGCGAACGGGCACGAAACGAAAGAATGAAATTCGCACTGTCCTGAATGGCATTGTCCGCGAAGCACTGTAATCGATCGTCGCTCGATGAATAGCAAGAGTTACGAGAGATCGAAGGGTGGAGAAGAGATAGGGTGCGTGCACGGACAGATATGCGAAGCCGATTTTTATTACCAGCCTGCGCTTCGACGAGCTTTGTAATTCAGACGATCTATATAAAATCTATCGACCAATTTTATACAAAGAATAAAAACTTGTAGAAAAATATACAAGGATATTAATCTAAATGAGAGTTTCATTTCCATGGTCTGCCGTCCGAGGGTTAACGCGACGAACAAAAAGCTTTATTTTCTTTGTTACGATTGAATAATTCTGATTATCCTTGCGATAACGAATCATCCTTCAAAAGACGGATGATTCCAACTCTGTTTTAACACATCGTTGAAAGAATGATACACGCTTAAGTACTTGTTCACTCCCCGTGTGGGAGGAAGGAAAAGCAATTTTTCGGTTAAAAGTGGGTTCCCGCAGAGTATCGCGAAAAGTTAGATTATTAAAGTCTCTGAATGGCCGTGGAAGCTGTATTATCCGTGCTTTGGTTTACTCTGGATTAAGAAAGTTCGGCCTTAAGGGGTGGCTTTCCCGTCGAAGCCGGTAGAATTATATGTATAATATAACGATCCACGAATTTCACGCGTATTGTACGAGCAAAACAGAGACAAGATTATACTTGAAATTAAGTAGAAAACTTTTTCCATGTCAGCCGAATTAATAGTGTACCGTGGCTGGTTTTGCTCGACGATTTCGAGCTGCTATCAAGCCAGAGAAGCTACCGCGAGCGTGTTCGTCCCGGCAACGTCTCTGCCGTTATATTTATGCGGCTCGAAACGTTGCTTTCCCACGCGAGGAGAATTACTCGCGTATCTCACGCACGCGCTTCTACAACGGCCAACCTCACGGAGCGGAGGTGATCGACGAAATATCAGATCGTAGCCGATAAAAATGTCCTGCCTTCGCGGTACGTATGTAGCTACGTTTGTTCTCTCGCGTAATGAAATTATCGTTCCGCGGCTACCACGGCACGCGATACTTCGATTACGCGAAATGCTCCCTTTCGCGGCTACCAGCAAGCTCGATCAAACCTCCCCCTTTGCCTCGTTTCACCATCCCTCTTCCCGGAACGTTGTTCAATGCATGTAATTCGTGTACTCGAACGTGGCTGGGAACTTACGTCGGTCAATTATGATCGACGCTTAAGGGGAGGAACTAACGAGCGGTAATAAGGGAAAAAAGATTAAAGGGAACTCGCGCCTCGATTTACATTGTAAATCTGCTCAAGTTACGTTTCTCATTCTCAGAGTAGATCGACCACTTTCGAAAGGTAAATCGTCGTCGATTTGCTCGCGAACGAATGAATCGAAAGAGGGGAAAAAGGAAGCTCGCGCTGCCTTCCGTTGAATAGAACGTCGTCGGCAGCTTGAATGACTCCGGCTGTATTCCGGTAGCCGACAAGGAATTTCGTTCGGAAATCTTTCGGCGGGACGCGACGTACGGGTGCAAATAGCACCGGGTCCGAGTGCACGGAACTCGACTATCGTCTGGAATGACGATTTCTTCCATTAACATTAAATTTTTTCCAACACCGTATTCTGGATTTACCTATCGATACCTGTAGCTTAAAGAAAATCCTCGCGACAAAGAGCGATCGGTATGAAAGATTAGGAAAAGGTGAATATCATACGCAATAATAGGTCTCTCGGCCGAAGGCAATTTGTTGCGAAAACCTAGCCGCTCAATCCGAAAGCAAAACACGAAACTTGAAGAGCAACGTCCTGCAAACGATGTGTACACGCTCTTTTTGAGTTTGTACGTCCACCCTTCGCATGTGTGCGTCGGTTCTCATCTGCACCGTGAAAATATTTCACATATTTTTGTTGGGAATTAATCCAACCCGTAATACTCGTTGGCCAGCGTGTTCACCGCTGAAAATTCTCTTGACAAACAACCCTCTTGGCTGCATTCGTATCACCGGCTTACTAAAGGGCGTCGCGTCGCTTTTGTGTGCTTGTGTACGCTTTTCGCGTACGTATGCGTGCACAGTGAACCGGAGCCGGCTGGGCAAGCAACGAAAATGCGGGGAGATCCGACGAAATGGTCAGCGGTAACCTCCACCCCCTCGACGATCCCTTGGTGCAACCCTTTACACACGTGCGCGCGGGCGCGCGCGTCGCTACTCGGAGAATGGAATTCCTCAAGTTTGTCCAGAGTAGAGAAATTAGTTGGAGCGACGTAATTGCTCGAATGTATGCGTTCGGCCGTTAACGTTATAGCACCTCTCATTACGGTCCTAACAGCAGCTGACACAAGCAGCGGACGGGTTTATCTCGCGTGTGTACAATTTACCTGTAGCCGGGACAAAAATTTAAACGCCGTCCTGGGAAATCCCAGAAAAATTCAACGATAAATTTGCGTCGCTTTAAAAGGGTTGGGAGGAAAGAAGAATATAGGAGGGCCGAGTGTAACCCTTTAAGTGGTGCGAACGTGTTTACACGGCTAGCGATCGCATTAGTGAAAGAAAGATTAAAATTGCCATTCTGAGCGATTAAAGGAAATTAATATTAATATTCTTATTCTGACGTGAAACAATTCTATAGTACTCGAAATTTCGTGGCGATCGTTACTCGAGATTGACACGACCAGTGAACACCGACAAATTATTGTCATTCCATTGGGTCATCCCGTTAGTCATGATTAAGCAAATTTCATACCCCGGCTATTAATATTAGAGCGGTTGACCGCGCGATGTCCACAAAATTCCCCTGGCTAGTATAGAATGCATATACTGACCCGACAACTACCCGCCACTAGCAAACTTCCTGAAGTTGATTAAACCGGAAAAGGCTTCGGCTACTGCCGCGGCGCGTCGAGACGGCTTTATTTCGGATAATTAAACAATTATTACTTAACCCGAGAAAGGATAGCGCGACAAGTACATAATTAATGCTACAATAAAATATTTACAAAGTGTTAAACCATCTAGAAATGTTGAACTATGCCGGATAATCATGCATTTAAACAATATTTTAAAGTGTAAAGAAAGCTTTGATTTAATTTTAAATTGAAAACAGATATGTTGTCATTAATATTGTCATTAATATTAGCCTTACCTAATTAACATTTTCATTAATTAACTAAGACTAGACATTAATATACATTTCTAATTGTAAATATCATGTATAGTATCGAGCATAATAGGCTCCCCGCGGAAAAATAGTGATTTTTCTGCTGTCGTCTAGAAACGCGGCTCCCCTTTTAGTCGCCTCTTACGACAAGCAGGGGTTACTGAGGGCGTATTCTACCACCCCCGCCCTCAGGGGAAAATCATGCCTATACTAACACAATCTAAAGGTATTTTCCGCGAGATTAACATTTATAACACGAATTGCGGGTTTCGCGTCGGGTACGGATTTCTTATAGGTGACAATAGTATTAAAAAAAACCGATCGGTAAGTTATTGACTAATTTACGCCGCTTCTGTGTAGATGGTGCTATGATCCAATTCTGGAAATCAGTAATGGCGGTCTTTTTAACATACAAGTTTGTTAAACAATTATTTTCATAATTTTTCGACCTTGTACTGATTTTGACTGACTTACAAATAATAGAATCAAAGAAAGCCATTTGAGATTCTTGTGATTCTTTTGAGATTTTTTTTTATAGGCGATTTAATTTTGCAACTAATTTATAATTACCGTGACGCCAGCAAAAGCTTCATAATGAAGATGAAGGCATCTGGTATCAGTTAAAGTAAAACTAAAGAATTCGCGTAGTAATTGCGGTACTTTTAAAAGAATATGATGCATAAATATCAAAAGGTCTTCAGCTACCTTCATTTATGTTGGCAAGCTAGATTTCTGAAACATCGGTCGTCTAAAACATGCTAGAAAATACGAACACGAGTTCTTTGCATACATCTGCCAGCAAGCCTATGTTCTGTTTAAAGTAATGGCGTTTGCAACAAAAAGTTTGCGGCATTTATATAAAATATATAATGGAAATAGAGCAAGTGTATATTCGGCGCTTCGCGTACCGATCGTACGAATATCAGTTGTTCAAACCGCACAAAGACATTATTATAACACTGAGAGTAAGTAACTCTAAAAAACGTAACCTTTCCTAATGGAAACATTCGTAGTCACGACATTATTTGTAATGAAATTGTTGGATTATTAAAAGAAATGATTATTAATTATTTATCGCCATTGAATAACAAATTTCTAAGCTTCTAATTCATGTCTCATAACCAACTTTAATAAAAACGTTTAATTGATGTTTTTTTATAGCACATAGACCAAAAATAACAGGTAGTTTAACGAATATACAATCAGCTGGAGGAACTGTTCAATCCCTAACACAGGAAAGATTAGATAATAAGAAAGTAGATGAAGAACAAAAGGAAGAAGCAGAGGAGAAAGAGAGACGAGAACAATCACAAAGACTGCTTAAATATAGTTTTGCATTTCTGGGAGCATTCACCACCATTGGACTATCTTATATAATATATAATTTAACAAAAACCAAGTATGATGAACATGGAAATGTTATTGAAGATGAATTCTCAAATTTACCATTCTATGAAAGAATATATAAAACACTCAGGAGAGAATTTAATTATTATACTAAGGTATAAAATCTATAATTCCTATTAGAAAATATGTATAATACTTTACAATAACATGATATTTTCAGATGGTACAGGAACCTAGTAGAGATAAGCTACTTCCAGATCCACTCAAATATCCTTACATTCAACCACCATACACTTTGGTATTAGAATTAACAGATGTTCTTGTACATCCTGATTGGACAGTAAGTTGCATATTTGTTAAAATATATTTAACATTATTTCGTATAAACATTTACTTATTAATTAATAATATAGTATGAAACTGGTTGGAGGTTTAAAAAACGACCTGGAGTGGACCAATTTCTAGAAGCTGTAGCTCCACCACAATTTGAAATTGTTGTATATACAGCGGAACAAGGAATGGTAAAAAAAATCTTGATTATTTATTCAAAAGTAACATACATTATTTCTATGTATTATAATTAATTTATGTAATTTTTAGACTGTTTTCCCTATTTTGGATATCTTAGATCCTAATGGATATATCATGTACAGATTAGTAAGAGACACAACGCGTTTTGTTGATGGTCATCATGTTAAGGATTTAGATGCTCTTAACCGCGATCTTCGTAAAGTGAGTACTTAATCTATGGTTTATATAAAAGTTAAACACTTTTTTATATACTTAACTAAATATTTTACAGGTTATAGTAATTGACTGGAATTCACAAAGTACGAAGTTCCATCCTGAAAACACTTTGAGATTACCTCAATGGACTGGAAATGATGATGATACAACATTGTATGATTTAGCTGCATTCCTAAAAAGTATGTTTCTTCTAATGAATGTAAATATGCTTTATACATGTCCATGTATCATTATGTTATTATGTTAATTGACCTCTCGTAACAAATATTTTTCAGCTATATTAGCGACAAACGTTGATGATGTTCGAGAAGTTCTTAATTACTATAAGCAATTTGATAATCCATTACAAGTCTTTAGAGAAAATCAACGAAAGTTATTGGTAACTATTATATTTATATTTTTTCGAGTAGTAACTAAACGAAGTATATCTAATTAACTCCGATATTTTCAGATGCAAATGGAAGAAGAAGAGAGTAAGGCACAACAAGAGAGTAATAAAGTACTTACGTCAAGATGGAAATCAACTTTCAACCGAAATCCTTAAGTTGTATCAGAAAATGCAATGTTGTAGATTACAAAACTTGTAAATTATTATCAACATGTTCATTCATTTTGTCGATGCATATTACATGTAATTATTGTACAATTTTTACTATAAATAAATAAACAAGTAATTCATATATCGAAATACTGTTATTATTTCTTTCGTGTGTTTTGCTTCTTTCTAGAACGTGAAGTTTTAACTTTCGGTAAAAACATCTCTTGTAACACGTTACTGTCGTCCAACTGAGTTATATCCACTTCCTGACTCACGCTTATTAATTCTTGGCTACTAATTGGTGTTTCTACGTTATCTAACTTTTCTTGAGATAATACTTGTGATTTTGTTTCTGTTGTTTGCAACCAACTTAAAACTTTTTCATGAGGGGCTGCTGTTAAAGAAATTGGAACTTCTTCACATATTTCCCATACGGCTAAAAGTTCTGGTGCTAACAGATCTGTGTAAGAGTTTAATTGTTCAAGAGATTGCTTCCAACCCACTTCAACATTATCTGAATTATGGTTCGTATTTTTTAACTGTAAGTTCTTATCGGTGAAACCTAAAAATTAAATATAAAGGTAGAATTAAGAAAACAGAAGTTTATTTCATGATTACTTACACCCAATAATATGTTGCATATTTGATTTATCGGAAATTGTAAGGGGTACTATGGTATCTGGTTGTGTAGATACTGCATTTTCCCAATCATTCAATAAGTAATATGACTTACAGTTTACCAGTGAATAAGTGTTCAATGCAGTATCATGTGTTATAGATTGATAAAATATATCGCCTGAAAAGATGATCATATTGAATTTTCGAAAATTACAATAAATAATGACAATACAATATACATACCAATAGAATTTTGAAAGAATAGAAATATATTTTCCGCGCTATTTTTGATCATATAACAGCCGCTATTGCTTAATTCAAACCTGTCTCTTAAATATGGATTCAAACACATTCCCCGCATTTGAGATTCATTCAGCGTTTCCATAACATGGGGAGGAGTAAATGGAAAATTAAACGAGTGCGAAATCTCACTGCTCGTCCATGTATTTAAAATTATTCTATTTTCCCCAGATATTTGACTAGATAGCATAACAAATTCCTTGTCATCTCTAAAAACAATTACATTTGAATATATTTAAACAAAATTAATGTAAATATTTCAGCCAAACAAATTTCTGCTACCTATTTAAAGCATGACCTATAAGCGGTGGACCTTTAAATTGATGTGTCCATTTTTGTTGAACGCATTGTTTAGGCGAACGATTGTCACACATTAAAAGACTATGATAAGTTCCAATATATCTACAGAAACTATTTCTACTTGCAATATCTAATGAAAGATTTTCACACTTTTCCAAATTAGATTTTGGGCATAATGTTAATGCGGGTCTTTCGAATGGAACCTGTAAACATATTAAAGTGTATTTTTATTGACTTCAGTCAATAAATCATACATTTTTGAAAGAAATTTTTTAAATGCTTTTACCCTAGTATCAAGATAATGAAGACAACACCTATCCACGTATAAAATAACATCTGGATCCATTAACTGAAACTTTATATTTGCCCATAAATCATCTACTACAGTAGTCTGGAACACATTATAACTACTTATATGCTGCCTACAAAATAGAAACGATACGTGAACCTTTTATTCAAACAAAACAGATATGCCCATATTGCTGTACGTACATTTTAGTTATATCCCATAATGTTACAGATCTTTCTACATTCACTGTGCAATATTGATTTTTATTAATTAAATGTAAGTCTGCACTAACATATGGAACTGCTGATGGCTGTGTATGAATTTCAGTAAGACGTAGTTTGTTATCGCGCTCATATAGCATATAAAAATTACAATTATGCTTGTATCTGCCCAAAATCATACCTAATGTAACAATTAAAACGATTACTAATATTGTTTCTTTTAGAGTATTACTCTGTAAATGAAAATACATGTGCTTACATGCATTAGCATTAATATTATGTTTTAATTCATATAATGAACCTTCAAGTTCACATTTAGCTGCCTTCTGTAACAATGGTTTCCACAAATATTCCTCTTCATTTACAACAGGTACACTTACTGCAAATATATTACAACATCAATATAAACTATGAACAAATATAAATTATTTTACAATAACAATACCTAAGTCTCCCATAAACGGAAAAAGTAAAATATTTATATTGTGGAATTGCACATAATCTACAGTGCCACCAGTATAGTACCAATTATAAATCTAAAAAAAATTGTTATTTATTATGGTACATGAATTGTGTACTATAATTAATTTTACCCCTTCAAAATAAGGATCTGGATCCTTGTCCATTGTTTCTGCTAAATCTGCTATGTACTTGGGTATTTTTGTAGTAACTGCATCTTTAGTAGAAGTCCACTTTACATCCTTCTTACATATTAATCTTAGTTCTATACAAACATTTTTATTCATAATTAAAGGATTCTTTTAAAAGATTGTATCCATACAGTGAAATAAAGGTACCTTTTTCATGTTTAGAATAATACTGTTTCATCCTTTTTATATCATTATTTATATGATTTTTAAGCGTAACCAATTCCAATACAGGATCTTCTTCGTTTAGTACTATAAGATTTATACATCCAGTTAAACTTATTTATCCAACATAATATTCAATAAAGTATTGTATTGTAAAATTGAAATGTTTACCACTTCTAGGTAATCTAACAGGAGGCAATAAAGGTTTTGGTAAATCACAGTGATAAGGATAATCTTGATACTGTTCTATAATGTTTTCTAAATCTGCCTCATCCAAAATCAAATTATTATGTAAATTATAACCAGGTACTAAGTAATGAGGGTAATGTTTTAAAAATGTTGGTCTCAATTTGTCCTTTAAATTGGCCTCAGCACGCTTATATGCTTTAGATGTTAAAATACTTTGTTCCTCCATTCTATTAATTTCTTTTATTCTTGTATTTTTTTATCTAAAACAAATTGTTTTTGTACAAATTATAATTATTTTGTAATCATTTTTATTGTAATTATTGCATTGAAATAAAAGCAGGAAAATACTTAATCTTTATTTAACATTTTGTTATACATTATATTGTATAATACTAAAACATTCATTAAGTATTAAATTGGTAAATAATTGTTTATGTAACATAAGCCATTCTCAACCCTTATAGCATCTTCCTCAAAATGTATGTAATACCACTGACTGCCACTGACCAGTCACTACAGATCTAAGACTGGATATGCCTTTATTACCGATGGGTGACCATTTTTGGCATACACACCGACGAGAGCCTACTAAAGACTGCCACACTTATGGGAATTTGTGTCATCGGAAAAATTCACCGTGTTTTTACGCCCTCTAGAATATATTGCGGCCGCAGTAAGAAACAGAACCCGAATCAGTCAACTTGCCGGTAAGATATATACATATATAAAACTCGCAGCCATTTGCTCATATTGCTCATAATAAAATTATTAATAAATGATATGATAATACCTTGCATATATATAAGTCACGAATAACTGAACGTCTATAAATGATTAGTAATTATATTATGATCAATATGATTGCCCAGGTCTCACCACGTGGAGGTTGCCGCGACAGGAGACCCGCCCGATCCGCACCCATCCACCCTTCCTTTTGCAGATAAAAAAATGTACTATAATACAATACAACTAAATCTTACTATCATACTATCATACATCTTTTCAGTAGTACTCCATTTGTTGTACAGTTACACAACGTACGACCCATGTACGTTCTGTAAATGTTACACAAATGGATATATCAGCTAGCCTACCCGGAAACGGTACTAATTTGGAATAGAACCTCACAAAACCACACAAAACACACAAAACCATTATGGTACTGATAGAAAGTATCCATAATGGAAACAACACACAAAACCATTATGATACTGATAAAAAGTATCCATAATGGAAACAACACACAAAACCATTATGATACTGATAAAAAGTATCCATAATGGAAACAACACACAAAACCATTATGATACTGGTAAAAAGTATCTATAATGGAAACAACACACAAAACCATTATGATACTGATAAAAAGTATCCATAATGGAAACGATACACAAATCCCATCGATGAAGAAATCAGAACATAACCATCGATGATTAACATTTTACCTTCAAATTCATAGGAAATGAACCATATATTCCAGTCACGTGACCGAACCTACCTAACTAAAAAGCTAAAGATACAAATCAATAATTCCAAACCTTCATTCAATGTACATTGAATCCTCCCTAACTAGAAGCTAAACCATTTTCAACAATCGTTTCCACACTGTAACCTGCCTACATAAAAAGCTAAGATACAACCTCAGTGTAACAACAATGCTGGTTTACCCATTTCAAAATTTCGTACAAACCATTGTTTTTTACAGCTTAAATCCTCCCTATCTAAAAGCTAAACCATTTTCAACAATCTTTTGCACACTGTGACCTACCTATATAAAAAGCTAAGATACAACCTCAGTGCAATAAGAATGCCGTTTTACACATTTCAAAATTTCGTACAAACCATTGTTTTTTACAGATTAAATCCTCCCTAACTAGAAGCTAAAAAGTGATTCCAACGTTGTTGTTCAGCAACATTTCTTCGGCACTGCCAATAAGGAACCCAACATCATTAAACGAAATGACAAAGACGATATAAGAGACAACAAAAACAAGTGCAAAACGAGAACCAATAAACTCTTCGTGTTCATGATCATCGGTGTCCAAAATTTTTCTAATCTGAAACAAACACAGGCACACACATACGTTGATAATATGCTGAAATACCGTCGATCTCAACTCCTGAAACACGCAAAAATAAGTATTAGAAAAGGAGAAAATAAAAAAAACAGAAATAAATAATAAGAAATAAGAAATAAATAAATAACGAAGATCAAATGAAATTGAAATAGATACTTATCTTCTTTTTTCTGCTACTGCCACTGTCTCATGTGCTGCCATCGATGATTCTGCAACGTCCACTTGTGTTCTGCTACGTTCTCTTCTATTCTGCTGCGTCTCCTTCTCTTCAGCTGCATTGGCTTCTGTTCTGCCGCATCCACTTCTGTTCTATAAATTCCTCTTCTCTTCTGCGGCTTCCTCTTCTGTTCTGCAGCGTCCTCTTCTGTTCCGCAGCTTCCTCTTCTGTTCTGTAGCTTCCACTTCTCTTCTGTAATATCGCCGCTTCCCTCGCTGGCTCTAAAACAGATCTCAGAAATAAATCTCCACCAAAGACTACACCCTGGCATCTGCAATCTTCGCTGCTGTGTCCTATGCCTCCTGTACTGCTTGCCCACTGCTACATCCGGTGACTCCACTACTGTTTCCGGTGCTTCCACTGCTGCTTCCTCTTCTGTTTTGCAGCCTCCTCTCTTCTGTTCCGCGGCTTCCTTTTCCGTTCTGTAGCTTCCACTTCTCTTCTCCAATATCCCCGCTTCCTTCGCTGACCCTAAAACAGATCTCAGAAATAAATCTCCATCAAAAACAACTACCTGGCATCTACGATCTTCGATGCTATGGAGCTTCTTCTCTTCTTTCCTCTTCGGCCGTGTTCCCTTCCATATTGTAGCATTTTTCTTCTTTTCTGTCTCCTGCTTCAGTCTTTCAGAGCGTACTCTTCTTCGTCCTAACCGCAGGGTCCTAACCACATCTTCCTTCTCCGTTTGTCTTCTTCCTTCTCCATTTGTCTTCTTCCTTCTCCGTTTGTCTTCTTCCTTCTCCGTTTGTCTTCTTTCTTCTCGGTTTGTCTACTTTCTTCTCCGTTTGTCTTCTTCCTTCTCCGTTTGTCTTCTTCCTTCTCCGTTTGTCATCTTCCTTCTCCGTTTGTCTTCTTCCTTCTCCGTTTGTCTTCTTTCTTCTCCGTTTGTCATCTTTCTTCTCGGTTCGTCTACTTTCTTCTCCGTTTATCTTCTTCCTTCTCCGTTTGTCTTCTTCCTTCTCCGTTTGTCTCCTTTCTTCTCCGTTTGTCATCCTTCTTCTCGGTTTGTCTACTTTCTTCTCCGTTTATCTTCTTCCTTCTCCGTTTGTCTTCTTCCTTCTCCGTTTGTCTTCTTCCTTCTCCGTTTGTCTTCTTCCTTCTACGTTTGTCTTCTTTCTTCTCCGTTTGTCTTCTTCCTTCTCCGTTTGTCTTCTTCCTTCTCCGTTTGTCATCTTCCTTCTCCGTTTGTCTTCTTCCTTCTCCGTTTGTCTTCTTCCTTCTCCGTTTGTCTTCTTTCTTCTCCGTTCGTCTTCGTCCTTCTCCGTTTGTCCTCGTCCTTCTCCGTTTGTCTTCTTTCTTCTCCATTCGTCTTCAGAAGCAGCCGGTTTTTGCAGCAGTGCCGCATTGTCTTCTCCATTGGAAATCCTACTCTTTCCTCTTCTGGGACAATCCCAATTCTTCTACCGTCACGTCGACCATTCCGTTGAGTTTTCCTTTTCTTCCGCGCTTTCTTCGCTGTTCTACAGCATTTTCTCCTCATTGGCACCGTTCTCGTCTTCATTGCAAACTCTTCTTTTCTTCTGCACCATGCAACCTAACCTAACGGTTGCGAATGTGCCACCGTCTTCAAAAACAAATACTGATGAAACGCGAATATCAGTATACTCGATCGCATTCCTACCCGCGAATTGAATTCGTTCGACGCGGTATGTCGCGAATACATGACGTGAGCCTTTTCAGTTTCCCGACGCGACGCGTTGGCTCTCTAATCACCGCCATCACGCTCGGTAAGCGTGGAAAAATATCAGTATAATCGCTCGCATTCCTACCCGCGAATTGAATTCGTTCGACGCGGAATCTCGCGAATATATCACGTGAGCCTTTTCAGTTTCCCGACGCGACGCGTTGGCTCCCTAATCACCGCCATCACGCTCGGCAAGCGTGGAGTAATATCAGTATAGTCGCTCGCATTCCTACCCGCGAATTGAATTCGTTCGACGCGGTATGTCGCGAATACATGACGTGAGCCTTTTCAGTTTTCCGACGCGACGCGTTGGCTCCCTAATCACCGCCATCACGCTCGGTAAGCGTGGCATAATATCAGTATAGTCGCTCGCATTCCTACCCGCGAATTGAATTCGTTCGACGCGGTATCTCGCGAATACATGACGTGAGCCTTTTCAGTTTCCCGACGCGACGCGTTGGCTCCCTAATCACCGCCATCACGCTCGGTAAGCGTGGCATAATATCAGTATAGTCGCTCGCATTCCTACCCGCGATTATATCACGTGAGCCTTTTCAGTTTCCCGACGCGACGCGTTGGCTCCCTAATCACCGCCATCACGCTCGGTAAGCGTGGAAAAATATCAATATAATCACTCGCATTCCTACCCGCGAATTGAATTCGTTCGAAGCGGTATGTCGCGAATACATGACGTGAGCCTTTTCAGTTTCCCGACGCGACGCGTTGGCTCTCTAATCACCGCCATCACGCTCGGTAAGCGTGGAAAAATATCAGTATAATCGCTCGCATTCCTACCCGCGAATTGAATTCGTTCGACGCGGAATCTCGCGAATATATCACGTGAGCCTTTTCAGTTTCCCGACGCGACGCGTTGGCTCCCTAATCACCGCCATCACGCTCGGCAAGCGTGGAGTAATATCAGTATAGTCGCTCGCATTCCTACCCGCGAATTGAATTCGTTCGACGCGGTATGTCGCGAATACATGACGTGAGCCTTTTCAGTTTTCCGACGCGACGCGTTGGCTCCCTAATCACCGCCATCACGCTCGGTAAGCGTGGCATAATATCAGTATAGTCGCTCGCATTCCTACCCGCGAATTGAATTCGTTCGACGCGGTATCTCGCGAATACATGACGTGAGCCTTTTCAGTTTCCCGACGCGACGCGTTGGCTCCCTAATCACCGCCATCACGCTCGGTAAGCGTGGCATAATATCAGTATAGTCGCTCGCATTCCTACCCGCGATTATATCACGTGAGCCTTTTCAGTTTCCCGACGCGACGCGTTGGCTCCCTAATCACCGCCATCACGCTCGGTAAGCGTGGAAAAATATCAATATAATCGCTCGCATTCCTACCCGCGAATTGAATTCGTTCGAAGCGGTATGTCGCGAATACATGACGTGAGCCTTTTCAGTTTCCCGACGCGACGCGTTGGCTCCCTAATCACCGCCATCACGCTCGGTAAGCGTGGCATAATATCAGTATAGTCGCTCGCATTCCTACCCGCGAATTGAATTCGTTCGACGCGGTATCTCGCGAATACATGACGTGAGCCTTTTCAGTTTCCCGACGCGACGCGTTGGCTCCCTAATCACCGCCATCACGCTCGGTAAGCGTGGCATAATATCAGTATAGTCGCTCGCATTCCTACCCGCGATTATATCACGTGAGCCTTTTCAGTTTCCCGACGCGACGCGTTG